TGTTGTACAGGTTAAATTTAGTGTAAAGATTCAACATCGATCGTTACGAATAAAAATATGTCATTCATGCGCCTGTGTGTTGTTGTTTAATCGATGTGTAAGATAGTTGGAATGGGATAGTTATGCGGAGCAAATGTTTTCTGTTTTTTAGGACAACGTGCAGAAGAAAGTAGTCACATGCTACATATGTGGCAGAGATTTCGGATCTACAAGCATAGCCATTCACGAGCCGCAATGCTTGAAAAAGTGGCACGTGGAAAACGACAAATTGTCACCGGATCAGAGGAGGAAAGAGCCGGAGAAACCTGAAATTATCTACACCCGTGAGTCTATTTCTTTTGTATGGTATTACAGTTATGTTCATTTTTTTTTTAGACGGAGCAACTTCAGTTTGCCAGAAGGATGTAGTTTTTTATTCAGCGATATGTCGACAGAGAGATTGGATGTGGTAGTTTAATTGATGTCACGAGTTGAATAACCTCGGTGATCGATTTGCCACGAGCACTTTTGTTCGGAGCGTAAGGTATACGGATCTTCCTTGTCCATACCTGTAATTCTTATCGATTCCGTAAACGTTATATTGGTCTTGAGAGTAGTCAATGGGATTATTGTGTGAAGAAGTCGCATATCGGTTGCGCGGTCCCGCGCTCTACCAATGAACTTAAGGTCAGCACGTGATTGTATCGATCTCTGAGGGAGGTACAGTTGTTGCAAAGCGGAAGTCGCGAAACGTAGCTTTATCGAATACTTAAAATTATCTTTAGCGAAGTGGACAAGGTGAAGGCTTGAATTACAATTGATAACTGAAATTTATTTTCCTTTTCGTGTGTACCTACACGCGAACAACGGAAGTGCAATGACTTTTTAACAATCGTTCGCCGCTGTTCAAGTATGCAACATTTTTGGGCAATTAAAATTTTCAACATTTATGAAGGTAATTTGTGTGCTGCAGGTGATCTAAATACGGGAAATATGGTAATTGATATTACTGCAACGGCTGAGGCTAGTTGGAAATCACACTTGAATCAACTGGTCCCGTGCAAACGATGCGGAAGGACTTTTAATCCTGACCGCGTAGACGTCCACGAAAGGAGCTGTAAGGGAAGTCGTTAAATTAATGCAGCTCGAAATAATTACAGGATTAATAGATATATAACAACTTTATTTAATTCAATAACAATTTTGTCTACGTTTAAGTGAAAAGAAAGAAGTGACTCAGTTGTATAAAACAAATGAGTAATTTTCTAATTATTTTAAGCTGTGTGTAACAATGTTTTCTGTCATCCGAAAATAGAAATGATGTACGTTATACAGAACACGAATGCACGCATATACCAACAAGTGATTAAGGCGGAATCTATCCATTGCAATGTTTGTTTTTTTTTTTATGTGATATGCGTTACAATTCACTAAGTTATGCACTACTTTTATACGTATTGTTAAGTAAAATAAACATGAGAGTGTAGATACAATTAGAAAGCTAATCGTAAAAATACACTTTATTGTCTACACTTTATAAAAGTGAAACACTTTCACCGTATGTACATAATGTACGAATATAATGTACACTGCACAGACGCTAGCGTTTCTGAGAATAACTGTGTTATAAGAAAACGCACAATCGCTAGTATTTTCTTAGTGTGTACGTAATTAATGTCTTTTGTACACTTGCTTATGTATAAGTACAATAGATAGATTGTACAATTTTAATTGTAGAATCAACGCAGTATTTTGTATGAATACTATCATCTAACAGAAAATAAGAAAATAACGTCTAACGATAAATGTATTCATATCTAAGCAACAGTCCATTCGCAACCTTTGAACTTTTAACTTATTCTTCTTTCCCTTTATCCCTTCTCCTGCCCTTGCTCTGTCCCCTTTCTTCATGAAACAAAGACGATACTTTTAATATCAAATAAAACTATTTTACTTCGATACTCTTTATAACGAGCGAAAAAAAAGTAAGATATATGCTTTTTAATTATCTTTATTTAAATTTTTATTTGAACTGTTGAGATGGCAGCACCAATCATGTCAGTCGCTGCAACATACACTATACAGATTAACGTATTGCATTTAAGCTCGCATACGATTCGTTGTAAGCTGCGCACGCAAAATGAGCCACGTGGTAGGGATTACGAAATTCCAATTGGCCCCGTGCACGACACGAAATACGCGTGACAACGGGAGCCCTCTAGCGTGCAGGGAACGTTGGCCCCTTTCACGGAACTCCTGTTCTTTCCCAGGGAGTCCGCCATTGTTGGTGCACGTATATTTCTGACCAGGCCAACGGAAATCGGACAACATCCAAAATGGTACGTATAATCGTTGCAAAGTATTACGAACGTGTAAATCTGTACGATGTGTGGAGTGCAGAGGTGTAAATATTTTTGAAGACCGAGTGTCACCTGGGTTCAGGAAAATTGAAAACTGGCGGATTACTTGGGATTGCGCAACTTCCTTCGAAGACAAATTTTGAGGCTCGCGATGGATATGCCGGAGCAAAGTTCTCCAAAGGTTCTGCAAAAATTCTGGCGAATCATTCCTGAAATTTTCCTTCGCAAAGGTTCACAATTACTTATGTTCAAAGTTCAAATATGTTTCGCCTCTTACTCGAGAGACAACGTGTCATGGAGCTTTGTAAAGGTTCTTGATACGAAGCAGCATGCTCTCGAGACATCGTGAGTCTTCAAGAAATGCACTTGACGGTTTCCAGTGAATTGATAATCTTATCAAAACGATTCTTGATTGTCATTGTACCAAAAAACGCGTTGAGTACCTCGCGCGATGTATATAGGAAATGAGGAAGTCGTAACACTCTACGGTCAGAAATTACTCTAGCAGAAAAAACTGTGCAAAAAAAGAGCTCACATGGGAATCGAATATTTCCCTTTATTGTAAATAATAATATATATATTGATAAAATTTGTCAAGATTTGTGAAGCTTTGATTTCAATATGGTCAGTATGAAGATCATCTTTCCTTTATGTAAAATAAAAGTATTGAAAAAACTCTTATTTCTTATTTTAATGCAACATTGAATGCATAAAAGGTGTTGAACAAAGTTAAGATTGTAGTAGTTAAATAAATTTATTGAGACTGATATTTTGTTTTTTGTTATGAACATTCTCATCAATATTTTAGTTTCAATATTAAGTGTACATACTCTATATTCACAAAATTATTATTTGTTGCAGGTGAACTTTACGGTGGACGAGATACGTGCCATGATGGACAAAAAGAAAAACATCAGAAATATGTCTGTCATTGCGCATGTTGATCATGGAAAGTCAACTTTGACTGACTCCCTTGTATCTAAGGCTGGTATTATTGCCGGTGCTAAAGCTGGTGAGACCAGATTCACTGATACCCGTAAGGATGAACAGGAACGTTGTATTACCATCAAATCCACGTAAGTTTTCATAATGTATTGTTATTAATTTCTAATTTCAATTGTTTTTTTACAAATATTTTACATCTTTTACAGGGCTATTTCTATGTTCTTTGCCCTTGAAGAGAAAGATTTAGTTTTTATTACAAATCCTGATCAACGTGATAAGGATGAAAAAGGTTTCTTGATCAATCTTATTGATTCACCTGGCCACGTAGATTTTTCCAGTGAAGTAACTGCTGCCCTTCGTGTAACTGATGGAGCTCTTGTCGTTGTTGATTGTGTATCTGGTATGCATTTTGGATTCAACTATTTGAATTGAACTAAAATCCCTTCCAGCACAAAGTGTTACTCTGTAGTGTGTTAGTTGGTTTATCTGGCTAATACACATGGACAGTGTTGATGATGCATTAATGGAAGGAGAGTAAAATCATAGCAGCTGTGTTTAAACGCTGTTAGTGGACCTCTATCTTTATGTTCGAGACTAATATGCTACGACGCAATTGCTACAATTTTATAATGTACTTTTTTTTGCCATTTTCAAAATTATAATTTTTTTCGTAATTTTCTTCAGGTGTATGTGTACAAACGGAAACTGTACTTCGTCAGGCTATTGCCGAACGTATAAAGCCCGTACTATTCATGAACAAGATGGACAGAGCATTATTGGAACTTCAGCTTGATAGTGAAGATCTCTATCAAACTTTCCAACGTATTGTTGAAAACGTTAACGTTATTATTGCAACATACTCGGATGATGATGGCCCCATGGGTGAAGTTAGAGTAAGTAAATAATTTTCTCTTACTTCATTCATACATAATGTTATTTTGATCTTAAGTTTACATTTGTTACAAATAGGTAGATCCTAGCAAAGGATCCGTCGGTTTTGGTTCTGGTCTGCATGGTTGGGCGTTTACGTTGAAACAATTCTCTGAAATGTACGCCGAGAAATTCAAAATTGATGTTGTGAAACTCATGAACAGATTATGGGGAGAATCGTTCTTCAACCCTAAAACTAAGAAATGGAGTAAACAGAAGGAAGTAGACAACAAACGTTCTTTCTGCATGTACGTCTTAGATCCAATTTATAAGGTATGTTTATAATTAACAACCGCTGCATTGATCGAATAATTTACTTGAACAAATGCTAATATGAACGAAAATAATACAGGTATTTGATAGTATTATGAATTACAAAAAAGACGAAGCAGACACCTTGCTGCAAAAATTAGGAATTGTTCTGAAGCCTGAAGATAAAGATAAGGATGGTAAAGCTCTTCTTAAGGTAAGAACATTTTTTTCTTATACAATCAATTTAATGTTTCTCGTTAATTTTACTAAACAATTTTTATGATGATTGTTCTAAAACTTTTCTGACACCTCATCTGAATTGTTTTTGAGTGTTACTGCGAACTTTATCTGATGATATTTTAATTTTAAATAATTAATTAATTAGTTGTACATGATTATATATCAGTATTTTTTTACGTTTTAGGTTGTTATGAGAACGTGGTTACCAGCTGGAGAAGCTTTGCTTCAGATGATTGCTATTCACTTGCCATCTCCTGTTACCGCTCAAAAATACCGTATGGAAATGTTGTACGAAGGCCCACTTGATGACGAGGCTGCGATTGGTATTAAGGTATATATCTATAATACTTTTAAAATGCATTATTAATTAGATTTTATTCTGTATGATGTGACTATTCACAGACCTGTCCTGAAATACTTATGATCGACATGAGACATTTATCTGATCAATACATGGGATAATTTTCTATATTTGAATTCAGATAAATTTCTATTTAATCGATATTTTATAATTATTTTACAGAATTGTGATCCAAATGGACCACTCATGATGTACGTTTCGAAAATGGTACCGACTTCTGATAAAGGTCGTTTCTATGCTTTCGGTCGTGTATTTTCTGGAAAAGTATGCACTGGAATGAAAGCACGTATTATGGGGCCTAATTTCCAACCAGGCAAGAAAGAAGATCTTTACGAGAAAGCTATTCAGCGTACAATTTTGATGATGGGTCGTTATGTTGAAGCGATTGAAGATGTGCCTTCTGGTTAGTAAGTTTTTTATTATATATTTTTTTCATATTTTGTTAAACCCTACAATGATGATTGTTCACACAGACCTGTTCTGACATTTTTTTGAAGGACACTAGAACGGCCAACTGATACTAAAGTTAAAAAATATAAAAGTATTAAATATTCTATGCGGTAATTAATATTTATCGTTTTATTATTTAACACAGGTAATATTTGTGGACTTGTTGGTGTTGATCAATTCTTGGTAAAGACTGGTACTATTACTACATTTAAGGATGCACACAACATGAAAGTTATGAAGTTCTCGGTTTCACCTGTCGTACGTGTTGCTGTTGAACCCAAGAATCCAGCAGATTTACCAAAATTAGTCGAAGGTACGATGTCTTTAATGTAATTTTTACTATAATTTAATGATCGATTAATGATGAAACTTCTTATATTCAGAGCATTGGGTTCTGATAAACCGTGATGTTAATTTGACATCTGAAAATGATCATCATTTAAATAGTATTCGATAAGAGTGTGGGCATTATTTAACAGTGTTTTGTATTTAGGTCTTAAACGTTTGGCGAAGTCAGATCCTATGGTACAATGTATCATTGAAGAATCAGGAGAGCACATTATCGCTGGTGCTGGGGAACTTCATCTTGAAATCTGTTTGAAAGATTTGGAGGAAGATCATGCTTGTGTACCTATCAAAAAATCAGATCCCGTTGTTTCCTACAGAGAAACAATTTCAGAACAATCGAATCAAATGTGTCTTTCAAAATCACCTAATAAGCATAATCGTTTGTTCATGATGGCGTGTCCAATGCCTGACGGTCTTGCTGACGATATCGATAGTGTATGTTTCAGTTACATATAAATATATGGACCTTTCTGTATTTTACTGAAATTTATAATTTTACAGGGTGAAGTTAACCCAAGGGATGACTTCAAAGTGCGTGCTCGTTACTTGAACGAGAAGTACAGTTATGATGTAACCGAAGCTAGAAAAATCTGGTGCTTTGGACCTGATGGAACTGGACCCAATATCCTTGTAGATTGTACAAAAGGAGTACAATATCTTAATGAAATTAAAGATTCCGTTGTAGCTGGATTCCAATGGGCAACGAAAGAGGTATAATATTACAAGAAAATAATATTCGAAAATATAACATTTTCGGTCTATATAATTATTTAAATTATAGGGTGTTCTTTCGGAAGAAAATTTAAGAGGTGTTCGCTTCAACATTCATGATGTTACGTTACACGCTGACGCTATTCACAGAGGTGGTGGTCAAATTATCCCTACCACAAGACGTTGCCTTTATGCTTGTCTCCTCACTGCCTCTCCTCGACTTATGGAACCAGTTTACCTGTGTGAAATTCAGGTACATTATATTTTCTAATTCATTGGAAGACTGCCAGTTATTAGTCTTCTGTAGACTAATGAAGAAAAATAATTTTTCCAGTGTCCTGAGACAGCTGTTGGTGGTATTTATGGTGTGCTTAACCGAAGAAGAGGGCACGTATTCGAAGAACAACAAATTGCTGGTACACCTATGTTCGTAGTTAGAGCATATCTTCCAGTCAACGAGTCCTTTGGCTTTACTGCCGATTTGCGTTCCAACACCGGAGGACAAGCTTTCCCACAATGTGTGTTTGACCATTGGCAAATTTTGCCTGGTGATCCAATGGAAACTAACACCAGACCTTACCAAGTTGTGCAGGTAAATTGATCATCTTTTCAGAAATGTATATATGTATACGGTGAAACTTAACCACGATCATAACTGATGATAATGAACAAGTGTAAATACATTATCATTTTTAATCTCGTGGAAGAGGAACCGTTTTTTGTTTTGGTGTTCCAGTAATTGTAGTCTGGTGTGCCTGAATAGGAAAACGTACAAATATATCTTTTGGAAATTTAATTACATGTTACACGTATTTCTTAATTATTACTAAATGCAATAATTTTCATTTCCGCAGGAAACACGTAAGAGGAAGGGATTGAAGGAAGGTCTCCCAGATTTGAATGCATACCTTGACAAATTGTAACCATAGATTCGCGCACCATATTTAAATATCTATTTAAATATTGTAATTCAATTAATATCGCTCGAACCGTATACAACCTACATCGGTTTATTATGAACTTTGTTTTGCGCAAAGAACCATGAGAATTACATAATTATAAATATGGAAAATGATAATAAATTGTAATTATAATGGAAAGTACGTACGTTAGCGCAAGGAGAAATATTTTATACATTTATTTAATTAAGCATGCCACGTTATCAAGATCTAGTGGCTTTATGTTTTTAACGTATCAGCATCAGATAAGACTCCATTGTTATTTTTATTGTAGTGGCAAGCTGTTGCCAATTTCGTATAAAAAAAGAAAACAAACAATTGTGATTTTTTACATTGTTTTTTTTACCACGATTAGTCTGTTATATTTTGTTGGTGTTCTAAAACAATTGGACGAATTCCGAAGTTATTAATGGAAAAACTACAGCAATGTACTCATACTGAAAAGAATGCATCAAGAAATTAAAGATGAAATTACGAAACGAAATGTCTTTTTATTGTCTTACTTTCTTTGTTAAAAATATTCAATCGTTACGTACCCTGACGGGGATGATCAGGATGAATAAAAAATAATACATAAAATTGTATGTAAATTACGTATCAATTTTATTTTAATAACAAAATAGACGATCGTATTAATGTGTTTAATATTAAGCATTGAAATGTGATGAAGTGATCACATTCAATATATCAAACCTACTTTTCAATGTATTTTGTCTTAATTCCATTGATTTTTTTGTACATGTTGCCACATATAATTAAAATACAGTTTTATAGTATATAGATACTCTAGGGTAATAAGTATGACATTAATTGAAATAAAACTTTTGATTTCAATAATGTGGTAAAATGTTAGGTACGTGTTAAAAGAAAGAGTCTAAAAAATACACCTTGAAAATAGATTTCAGAATATCATAAATTAGTAAAGTTGTATTTACAAAAACGCGTTGATAAATTGCGTCGATGTATTCTTCATAAATTTAGACAGGATTAATTGTGTTCTTGTAGATTCCAGCTAGAGACTGAACTGCTAAAAGTATGATGTCCCTCCTGGAAACTCCGGTTAGGGCATGGTGCCACTCGTTATGAGAAACCTTTGGATATTATTTATTTCGTATATTTTCAATTACAAAACTGTCATAATTATTACGTTTGAAATGTACCTGTAAACTGCTTGCCATTAAACTGCCAACAGTAACTGCTAATCCAGACCATTTAAGAGGATAATCTTCAGGTGTGGCCTCTTGTGCCATTGTTACTATTTGGCTTGGTACTGGTGTCATTTGAGTGAATGTTTGTAAATTTACGTTGCGTTTAGGATCATTAAGTAATATTACCCCTAAATCATACCACTTATCTTCACCAACTTCTAACAAAAAATTTTCTACAGCAATTATAGGTATATCTTTTGCAAGATTTGGTATATTTCGTGCAAAATTAATCCTCTCTTCTGCTCCTTTCACTCCAGCGGCAAAACCAACTGGTTGAGCAGCAACAGCTGAACTTTCTACTACCACACCACTAAAAAATAATTAATTATTTGAATGAAAATGTAATGTAAAATGAAATATGATTTATAATTACACTTCATTACTCACGTGACTGTTGCTTTCCCAAAGACAGTTTGGAAAGCTTGACGAACAGGACTTATTTTAATATCTTTGTCTGATGCCACTACAATCTCCATATCACCACCAGAATCTGAAATGTACATTGTCCACAGAGCCTGTATATATGTTTGTACATTAAGTAACATGTTGCACAGCCACTACTATACTATTTACATTCACACAGAAATAGTGTGGAGTCTATATATTGTATCTCAAATTTTAATTGTCATAGCAATATGTTTTGTTATAACAAAATGACTCCAGAACACATTATTTCATGTTAGCTTTTAGAAAACAATCACTTTTACACAACATCGTGCACAGGTATAATATTGCAGTTGATGAAAAATTGTACTGAAGTAAAATTTCTTCATTCACAACCTTAAATTATTACTGTCTATATTTCCAATATAAATTGTGAAACTATTATGATTTATATTTGATTCACATTAGTGTTACACATATACAGATTTTACAATTTAATTTATTTAATAAGTAAAAAGAAAATGAAAAAATTTTGATTTGCAAATGACAGTTAACAGCACAGTGTACAACACAGTTCATTGAATTAAGTTTGGCCTGCTGTATATCCAAAAATAACACACTACATATATATGTTCCCCACAGTTATGATGCAATAACATCAATTACACACACAGTGACACACATTTGAATATAAAATTTACAAAGTAGAGTATCAATGAAATTTACAAAGTAGGAACTTAATCTTTTTTACTTGCATGTCAGGATTAGTAGGTTTCTTACTTACAAATGAACTCACGCATCTGGGGGTCTAATGTGGTGATCATAGTATTAACACTATGTTTTGCTTTTTCAGCAACTTTGCTCAGAACATTACTGTTTACTACTGTTTCCTTAACCCATGATAATAAACCTCCACCAACTATTCCTGAATCATGATCTACAGGTTCTGATGGCACTGTTGTTTGTACATTTTGTGTGGATGGAGTAATAGCACTGGTTGTAGTTACTTGATGTGACTCTTGTTGTACTGGCTTAGATTGAACAACAGCATTTAACATTGATTTAACAGGTTCTGATTCATTTATCTTTTCTATAGCTGGTACCACATTATTAGATTTTTCTGAGAACAATGTCCTAGGATTTGAAATAAAGGTAGGCAATGCAGTAGGTGGTGCTATATTTGATAATAAATTTCCTGTAGATGTTGTCACGCCTAATGGCATTAACAAAGATGCAGATGAAGATAAACTGCTAAAAGAATCTGAAAGTTATGTTATAATTGTTATTTACATCAATTACATTTTATAATAAAATATTTATGTCGATGAACCAAGTCTTCGATTAACAAATTATTGTTTCTTCTATAAAAAAAAATGTATTATTTCTTAAAGCAATTGTACACATCGTTTTTATATCGTAAGATATATGTCTAATTAAATTTTACATTATGCTTTTTATGTTTTTAAAGATTTAATTCCTTTCTTATCATTTATTTTTAAATTCTTTCGTAGTATATGAAAAACTGTGGTAAATAATTAGGTTGTACGTGAACTCTTTATCTGTAAAGAAATTTGACAGATACGCAGGTGTTTATGTTTTGCCTTTTATTCTCACCTGTTTTCGCGATTTCTCCAGATGTGGACGATTCGTCCGTCTTTCTTTCGACAAATTCAAATGTCGATTCTCCATTGGAATCGTCGGTCATTGCTGATTAACTTTTCTAAATTTACACGTAAGATATCCAAAATTATATTGTGAATTTTCTATATGCGAAAGGCATACATAATACTTTGACTATATATACGTCTTAGTTACTAGTAGCCAACTTCACTGTCTTGAAGCTGTCCGAAGATAGGAACTAGTCCATAATTCTTGTTATTTTATGTTGTTTCATGTTTATTTTATATGACGAAGAGAAAACAATCTTATTTATAAATGATATATTTAAAATCAAATAAGTTATTTTTGTGAATTGTACTAATTATTTTCAGATTAATGTTTATTTTATAATTAATACATACTTTTGTGTACTGTTTTTTGAATAATAAAGGAATAAAGAATGTAAAAGCATCTTTACTTAATATAGAATGTATTTATAATATGCAAATTCATTTATTTTAAGTGATCATTTCCAACAATGTTAAATACAACATGTAGATGCACAACTCCTCCTGTACATGCATCAGTTTTTGATGACGTTATGGACTTAAGGTTATGTTCGAGCATACATGCCACTTCTTCATTTCGAATAATTCGCATTTATGTAGTGAAAAAGAAATACCAAGCAAAATAATGTTGCTCCCAGAATGTTGCAGAATACAGCTAGCTGTACGTCTGTAATCATCTGAAATATTACAAGATTAACCTACCGGTTTATTATTTGGACTTAATATAAAAAATGTATAAGATTAATCAGGAAACAGTACTTTAAATATTAATTAATTGAAAAATATATATAATTACCTTAACGGATTACTGTACAGTACACAATTCAATACGCTTGAATTAAATACGTGGTTTGACACGTTACACACTGCAACCCAATGACAATCTGTCATGAAACAAGTTAAGTACTCATAGAAACTTCCGGAAGTTTTATTTATTCTTATAAAGTATAAAAACTTGTAGTAGATGTAATATTTCCCAATGTATTTAAAGATGCATTAAGTAGATGATATAATGTGTACTTTATTTTCCATCTATTGTTAATTAATGTTATTACTGGTAAAATTTAAATATAACCAGTAATATATAATAATACAATAGATTACGATTATCAACATTTATATTACAATGAAATAAATTCAGTACATTACTGTGTATTATTATATATTATTAGCGTAGCAAATATATGTAGCAAATTGTTAAGTATTCTTAAACACATTAATAGTGTACGTGTCAAAAGACAACAGTACTGTTGATTCACTCTAGTTAGTAACAATGTGCTTTAAACGCACCGGTTCATTGAAATGCATTCAAATGATATACTTAAAACACAAGATTTAAAAAATAAGGAAAATAATTATTGTAAATTTAACATTGATAATTTCATTGAAACATTTCACCTTGATGTTTTATTTTTACAGAGTGATCGTAAAGGATGTTAGTAAGATTACTTGTATTGTACAGTGTTTTCCCTCCTTTCTGACAATACGCAATTTCAAGATAAATATTAAAAAAAAATAAGTGATTCGAAATTGTGTCGTTTGAGTTGGATATTGCGCTGTAAAAATTTAATTCTTCCATATTTTAATAGTTAACACATTTTATAGAAAAATTACTTAATCTTCCTTTCTAACCTTCACGTATATTCATTATCGGCCGAAGTTTATTTTATTTTGTAATATTAAAACTATTAAGGATGTTCGAAGCACATAGTATTAATGCCGAGCATAAAGACTTGATACATGATATCGCTTACGATTTTTACGGGCAGCGAATGGCAACATGTTCTAGTGATCAGTTTGTAAAAGTAAGCATTTCATGATTGACGGTTGTATTTATATTATAAACATTCGTTCATAAAGATTACGAAATTTATATAGGTGTGGGATGAAGATGAACATGGAAATTGGCATTTAACTGCATCTTGGAAAGCACACAGTGGGTCTGTGTGGAAAGTAACATGGGCACATCCAGAGTTTGGTCAAGTTCTTGCAACATGTTCATTTGATAGAACAGCAGCTGTGTGGGAAGAAATAGGTAATATTGCAGTTAACATTTATTTTGATTTATATGGTAATTAATTATGTAATAGTTATATATCATATGTAGTTGGAGAAGGATCAGGACCAGAAGAGCGTGGCATGAGGCATTGGGTTAGGAGAACCAACTTAGTAGATTCCAGAAAATCTGTAACAGATGTGAAATTTGCACCTAAAACTTTAGGACTTCTGTTAGCTACTTGTAGTGAAGATGGAGTAATTAGAATATATGAAGCCCCTGATGTTATGAATCTAAGTCAATGGACTTTACAGCATGACATTAGTTGTAAACTGCAATGTAGTTGCCTTTCGTGGAACCCATCCCTTTCAAGGTACAATAAATAGATGGTGCACATAGAGCAAAATAGAAATTCATTTAATATTGATTTATTATTCTACATTAGGTTACATCCCCCAATGATAGCAGTTGGAAGTGATGACCAAAATCTATCATCTGGAGGAAAAGTTTTTATATATGAATATTCTGAAACCAGCAGAAGATGGGCAAAAACAGAAACACTGAACATTAATGATCCTATTCATGATATTTCCTTTGCTCCAAATTTAGGTAGACGTTTTCACACATTGGCTATTGCTTCAAAAGATGTACGAATAATTACATTAAAACCTATGCTGTGAGTATAAATGTTGAAAGTTGTACGAATGTTGAATAAATAAGAAATTACACGAAACTATTACTAACATAGGGATAGTGTGCAAAGTGGTTCTCCACGTTTTGAGATCACGGCTGCGCAGTTTTCTGATCATGATTCTACTGTGTGGCGAGTTTGTTGGAACATTATGGGAACTATTTTGGCAAGTTCGGGAGACGATGGTTGCGTTCGATTATGGAAAGATAATTACATTAACAATTGGAAATGCGTTGCTGTTTTAAAAGGTGATGGTACCTCTGCACAAAGTGCTGAAACTCCAACAGCAGCCACACCACCTAATCATACAACAGGAACACAACAAACACTTTCTACAACAAGGTACTACAAATTGGGTTCCATCAGTCATCCAAACCAAGTGCCTTGGCATTAGCAAAATGATTTTTTTAACATATTCAGTGGTATCGTATTGTTTATTATTTCGTAAAATTGTGCACAGTTTGTGCGAAAATGAGTGGTATTTATACCACAAAGGTATTCGATTCTTCTTATTTTTCAACAAAATTAAATATCCTTTATTTTTGGTAGTATCAGGCTGATTTACATTTATTATGAGTTCGCAGCACTGCGCATTACCTTATTGTTCTAGTAATCTATATTTTTTGTTAAATAAGAAAAATATAAAGTGTACGTTTCACTGAAAACCTTCATAATAAATTCTATGTTAATGTATAATCGTTTAATGATTTTGATGAGATGACAAATATACCGTTGGATCATGTCTATTTTAAACAAATTATTACTTGAAAAAAATAGCGGCACTTTGCTACTTGGAATTAGCAAGGAGAATCTTGTTGAAAAGGTTATCGATCGAAGATATTTTATACTTTGTAATATAACAAAATTCATTAAATGATAAATTCTAGGTATGTTAATTGCTTAAATCGAATATATATTTTTTCTCGGCGTTGAAATTTTTGTAAATATTGAAGCATTATGCATGGACGTTCGAATACACACATTGAAAAATATCTTACAAGAAACATATATTTCATTCAAGTTGTAACGCAGTTTTTTAATTAATAAATGCTGTATATATTACAATACACCTTTTTATTTTTTCCCACCTCGAAGTGTTGAATAGCTTAGGATAGGAAATTAATTTATGCGGTGATAAAATTTAACTTTACGTAGCAATGTTGTTTTTGTAATCAACGTTAATTGATTGCACGTTGACGAACAGCATGCAGTTATATGTGTCTAAATAGATTTCGTTTCACTTTCAGAGCAGTAACTATAGCAACAGTCACTGCAGAGAAGCCTACAGTTACAGTTATGTGCAGCAATAAATGGCAAACACCCGTGATAAAAGGTCGTTTTAGTAAATCCGTGTGGTTGGGAAATCCTAGTGAACCAACCCCACCACCGCCTCCAATTTTAGAGTGCCCAAAAGCAAGAAAGTAACTATAATTGACGCAATTATTAAGTTATCAAAGTTACTTCTTCTCGATAACGTTAAGAAATGAAAAACAAAAGGAACTTTATAGTTTTTTGTCTGGCCGATTAAAAATAATCATTCGAAAGATATAACCTATTTTTTTATGCACTGGAGAATACTATTTTTATTTGGAAAGGAATTTGTAACGATCAAGTTTCCTAAACATGTACTTACCACTACCATAACGATGTGATAATAAGCAGCAATAGTTTGCGTGTAAGTATTACAATTAGCACTGTTTAGTATTTTGTACATATTATATAAAATGACATTACATATTTGCTACTCCGATTGATTTTAGTGACATATAATTTCACGTATGTTACTTTTTCTTACCACCATGACACATTTGTATTTAATTTAAATAAAGATACAGACATAACAGAAACAAGTTTACACCACTTTCTTACGATACACGTACGAAGCAAGTACGACATATTTGAATCTCGAATCAATTTGAAATAGTTGAAGCGGAAATACAATATTGGTCAAATAAGAAATTGAAATATACAAAAAATGTTTAACTCGGTTATATTGACGTATATCAAATATATATAAAAATCATTACTTAATAAGTCGTTATAATTGTTTAAGGTAATTTTTTAATAAAACGATGATTATTTGAAAATGGTAATTCAGTTGTAGTTGGACAATTAACGTAGTATGACGAACATCCGACAGTTGACACCGATACTTTTGACTGTCGGTTCGTTTCTTAAGTATCGGTGCGGGAATTTATCTATTAAAAGTGTTTTAACGTTCATCAGTGCTCGAAATATCGGTAAAGTGTCGCGTGTGTAGTTCGTGGTGAGTGTAAAGTGAAAAGTTACCTGTGAAAGGTTAAATAAAAAGTGATAATATGAAAAGTGCGGTCGAGCCTGTTCGAAAGAGCCTACTGGATGTGGTGAGAAAAAATCTTCGCGCTGCTGGCAAAGTAAGTATTTTATTTCATTAAAATGTCATTCACCCAATTTATTTTTATTCAAATATCATGATAACTGTATGCGCAGTTGATGTTTTAACAAATGTTCTATTTTACGGAATAGAACATTTGAAATTCTAACTGCTTAAATTGATTCGCCTGTATTAGAGCGCCATCTGCTTCAACTATTTTAAAATTTGAATCTATCCGTCCGTACTGGAACGCCATCTGCTTCAACTATTTTAAAATTTGAATCTATTCGTCCGTACTAGGACGCCATCTGTTCTCGTCTATTTTAAAATTTGAAACTATTCGTTTAAATACGTTAGAACGATTTATCATTTGTAGACTACGTATATTACGCGCGTCGTTTATATCGGAGAGTACACTGGTGAATATTCTAACTTAGAAGAGGTATGGAAATGAAGTTAGCTAAATATTGAAGTTTGAAAGATTGGAATAATTTAACTTTATCATGAGTTTAAAAAATAATTCATAGAAAATGGGATCTGTAATACATCAGTTGCAAGAAGATTACAATCACGTTACCATCAGTGGATTGCTTCTTGTATACCCGGAATATTACATTCATGTGTTAGAGGTGTGTGAAGAGAATTTAAAAATTATATTTAAATAAAAATGTGTATTTAAATGTTTTAATTTGAAAATTTAATTAGAAAATTAGAAAGTTGGAAAATTAGAAAATTAGAAAGTTAGAAAGTTAGAAAATTAGGAAATTTCCGAAGATATAATTTATAGGCATTTCAAAGCCCTCTACAATAATGAAAACGATAATAGCAAAATGGGAAGATCAATTTTCCTTCCAAGTTACCATCACGTCCATCAGGTGAGATACATAACGAACGAAAAACGAAAAGAAACACATTCTATCGTTAAAGTCTGCAGAGATTTTTTACAGAATGGCACCACGTGTACACAATACCACCTACTTTGTTACAAAAATTAGAATCGTACAAACTGGAGGATATTCAAACGCAAATGTCTATTTGTTTCAGTAAAGTATACGAATTGTGTGATCATATCTCGAATACCGTTCGCGACTACGTAAGTTTATCATTACTTTAGTCGATTGTAAGATCGAAAATTGATACGAAATATTTTTCCTTAAAAAGTCAGTTCCAATCAAGGAAGTCATAAGGAATATAAACGATAAGATTGCTCGACTTTACCCCGAGAGCACTTTGCTAGAATATTTATTGAACGCAAATAGTCCTGTTATTCTGACTGTCGAGGAATACTTGAAAATATTCTCCTCAGTTCCATTCATTAGTCTATATTCAGGTAACAAAACTACCTTCACAAACTTATCTCATTACCATTCAATTTTTTACTCGAGTAATTATCTGTAATACCAACAGTAGGTAACTCGAAATATGGTATAATATTTTTCAACTACTGTAATTTGCAGCGAAGAATTTTATTTCATTTTCGAAGAAAAATTAGAAAATTAAGAATCAAAAATTTGAAAATTAAAATATTGAAGATTTAAGGATTTAAAAATTTAAAAATTTGAAGATTTGAGAATTTAAAAATTTAAGGATTTAAAGATTTAAAGACTTAAAAATTAAAAAAAATTTACAAATTATCTTCAATAATTTATCACTTTAATTACCAAATTACTTTCAAATTCGATTGAAAAATGAAAATTCCGAGCAACAGGTGGTTGAATAAAAACGATTATTTATTTCAGAGTATTTACAATATCAAAAAAACGTCTCCTTTTATGGGGTACATGAAATTTGTGTCGGATATCGCTAAACTAATTACATATACAAACTTCATTCAAATGGTTTCATCTTCGTTATTTTTTTTCTTTTTCTTCTCTTTCGCGAAAGCTGCTGGTCAGACTCGATCGTTAAGATGTACAGGCGGTATACGGCTGAAACGGTGCTTCCATGTACTTCTTATTAATCTAAAAAGATTTCATTTCGCTCTTATCTTTCTGGCTACTGTAAGATACATAGTTAACGAAGCAAATTGGTGTGCAAACGCTGGTCGGTAGTATTTTTTGGGTATTGTGGTCGTCGCGCGGATTTCAATTGAATATTTTTCCCTAAATGCAATTGATTGTTCACATATTTAATAAACAGTACGAATTTGTCGTGTTTTTTTTTTTTTCTTATTTTTTCTTTCGAAACGGGATGTATACCCGTTGCAACATGGTATAAAGTAACATTCAACGCGTAATATAGCATCTCTTAGAGCACTAATATATTCTTTCGTCACACGAGATGAGATTACGATTCGTGGTACGAAAAGAAAAACAAAAAGCTTGACGATAGTTGGGGAAATTTGGGAATTGTGTATATGCAGAATTTCGAAGATTCGAAAGAAAATTTTCAACGAGTGCATTTTCCTCGAAATTTCGAAGATTCGAAAGAAAACTCTCGACGATCGGATTTTCCTCGAAATTTCGAAGTTTCGAAAGAAAATTTATAACGATTGGATCTTCCTCGAAATTTCAAAGATTCGAAAGAAAACTTTCGACGATTGATTTTCCTCGAAATTTCGAAGATTCGAAAGAAAATTTTCAACGACTGATTTTCCTCAAAATTTCGAAGATTCGAAAGAAAATTTTCAACGAGTGCATTTTCCTCGAAATTTCGAAGATTCGAAAGAAAACTTTCGAAAAGAAAATTTTCAACGAGTGCATTTTCCTCGAAATTTCGAAGATTCGAAAGAAAACTCTCAACGACCGGATCTTCCTCAAAATTTCCGTATTTTCCGCAAAAACTGAATTCTTCGTTCGAGTTATCGTTCACCTTCCCTCCTTCCATTCCACCACGAATCAAAATTCGATCTCATCTCGCGGAGCGCACAGTTAAGTGCAAATCAACAAGAGATTCACGTCTCGTACAACGATGCCAATATAATTCGCGAAACATTCAAATTTTCCTCGTAAATCCTCGATCTCTCTGAACGTAAGCAATTATTACCTCGCCATTCACAACCCATAAAAAACGCATCAAGGAAAAATTAGTAAGGCCAGATTTCCAAACCGGAACGATCGATTCGCTCGCTTAAAACGACTATCCCCAATGATTCTCAATCATTCGCCGAAATTCTTTACTTTCACAAGTTTCGCAAGATCAACGAACGACCTTCGAACGACGGTGATCGGGTCACATTTGACCCACCTTTTACAGATCTCTCTCGTTTCAATCGACATTCCAACCATAAGTATCGTAGTGTCTCTGTCTAAATTACAAACAACACAATTCCCACTAAAACAGGAAAAAAGTGTGCTTTCGCCAATTCTCTGTTTCGCACGAGAGGGATTTAAAAATCGGGTCACATTTGACCCGGCAACCGCTGTTCGAGGATCAACATTCCACGCAGGCGGGACATTTTCATGATTCTGTTTGCAGACAATATTTGGCCTCCGCCACGCGACATGATGTTCTGCGACGCGAACGAGTAAGAGGATCGTCCAAGCGTGGTTACGGCGAAGAACAGTTCACGCAGGCCTACCCGCTAGAGGATCTCGTCAAGATCGCGTTTTCTCGCCTGCCACAGATGCCTGTTCTTCACCGGGAAAAGAAAACGGAAAGAAAGTTGATCGATTATCGCCTTTGCCGTCGTAGAACAACGCGTTTTCACCAACAAGAACAGTAACATCCCTCGACACACCAGAGAATCTCGATCGATCGATCAAACCTTTAGACCGTTACCTTGGAATTTTCTGAAGATTGTACTCGAATAAACGATGAAAATGATCCATCGTTTGGCAGTTTCTCTGTTTTCAAGATTATCATATTATCATTTATCAAGATGATAGTGTTTCTTTTCTCTCTCCGTTAACTCAGCCTTTCAGCGTTAAAACGTTTAATACAAGAAGAAATATAGGCGGTTTCGTGTAACGATTAGTTCTCAAAGGATTTTCCCCCTTGGTACACTGGCTATGCGCCGACATCAATTCCATCAATGGCAATAATTAATAAACGAGAGTTCCCACCTCTCGCGCTCTTTCTCATCTTTCGGCGCGAGACCGTTTCTCATATTCTCCTTCTTCCTTTTCTTTAGTATTTTCATTTAAACAATTACAGTCAGACACCGTGTCTCCGAGGATAAAACTTAACGACTAGCGATCGAAAGAACACATTCATCTAGAGGACTCGAAAGAACGTCTAATTCTCGATAATTATTTACACGAGCGACTCGTGAGAGAAAAAACCAATCTTTCTCCGCCATTTACACACAGAGTTTTATCTGATTAACTTATGCAGATCTTTCCTTCCTTTCTTCTTCTTCTATTTCTTATCTTCGGTTTCTCCTTTAAATACACACATTCGTAAACGCGCGCACACACACGCCAGATCATACATACGTACGTACACACAGGTGTGTATTTATGGTTTATTAGGGAAAGGTGGAGACATTTACAGAGCGAAGCTTGAATGTTTTCCTCGCGCCTCTGCCGTTTCAAGAGTCTAACAATCAAGGAAGCTATGCACACTCGTCTTCTCTTCTCCTTCACGAGCTTCTATGTGGCGATAGGAGCCACCAGATGCTCATACTCGTATTGTGCTGAAGAGGACGATACGCGGTTTCCGACTTTGCTCGTTCGCGATGTTGTCGTTACAACCTACGGCCAGAAAGTGTTGCTGTAATGAAACTTGGGGAAGATGGTTGGAATTGGTTTTCAGCGAATGGAATGTTAAGGTGGTTTGGAGAAGTGTGGGAGAAATGAATGGGATTTTTTTTTAATTGAAAATTAAAGTTTTCTTGGTTTTATTGGGCGAAATTAATGGGATTTTTGAAAAATCGGAGGAAATACATTGCAAATTAAATTTTTCTGCGTTTTACTGGGCGAAATTAATGGGATTTTTGAAAAATTGGAGGAAAGAAATTGAAAATTAAATTTTTCTTCTTTTTATTGGGCGAAATAAATGGGATTTTTGAAAAATTGGAGGAAAGAAATTGAAAATTAAATTTTTCTTGGTTTTATTGGGCGAAATCAATGGGATTTTTGAAAAATTGAAAGAAATACATTGCAAATTAAATTTTTCTGCGTTTTACTGGGCGAAATCAACGGGATTTTGTAAAAATTGAAAGAAAGAAATTGAAAATTAAATTCTCTTAGTTTTATTGGGCGAAATCAATGGGATTTTTGAAAAATTGAAAGAAAGAAATTGTAAATTAAATTTTTCTGCGTTTTACTGGGCGAAATCAATGGGATTTTTGAAAAATTGAAAGAAATACATTGCAAATTAAATTTTCTTAGTTTTATTGGGAGACATCAACGGGATTTTGTAAAAATTGAAAGAAATACATTGCAAATTAAATTTTCTTAGTTTTATTGGGAGACATCAACGGGATTTTGTAAAAATTGAAAGAAAGAAATTGAAAATTAAATTCTCTTAGTTTTATTGGGCGAAATCAATGGGATTTTTGAAAAATTGAAAGAAATACATTGCAAATTAAATTTTTCTGCCTTTTACTGGGCGAAATCAATGGGATTTTGTAAAAATTAAAAATTCAATTGTTCTTCATTTTAAGAATCCAGTGAGATCAGAAGGGAGTCATTTGAAAACTTTCTGAAATAGGTCGCAACAAAGTTGATCAGCAATCGGAACGAGCCTAAATTTCAAGATTCTCGTCGAGCATCGAAAGAGACGATAATACAACAGCAAGACGAAGAGTCATCGTCCCTCTATCATTCCCTCGTCTCTTCAGCGTGAAATTACTCCGAAGGAAAATCGTTACTTTATACATTATACAGATACGTAATCTTACAATAAAATCCAGAATACTGCATACTGACGAAAGCAACGGGGGGATTTCATCGCGTTCCTCTCTTTTTTATATTTTTGTTTTTAAACTCTTTTTTTTTTCTATACTTCTCTTTTTCGTCCTTCACTCTTCTCTTCTTTGTTTTCTTTTTCTCTCTAATCCCGATTTCTCGAGACGATGGAAAACTCTGTACGATATGTCTTCTTGTGTTTCTCTCGTCGCCGATCAACATCGAGCATGAACACGCAACAAACAAAATTCTTGTTCCCATTTCACTGTTATCATTTCGAAAACGTTCCATCTCCTCTTTTCTCTCTTCACATCGTAGAACATCCTCAGTGTACTTTATTCTGGCTGTCTCGAACGATCTTTCTTTCCCTCCTTTTCTTCTTTCACTTTATATACGCATATACATTTTATTTATACTTACATCGACTAGACGAATTGTACAGTATATCTCATTTCCTTTTATTTCTTTATTTTAATAAAAGTGGGAATAAACCTCTCTCTCTCTCTCTCTCTTTCGCTCGCTCAATCAAATTCTTCCTGTTTTTTTTCTCATTTTTTCTCATTTTTCTCTTTTGGTTTCTTTCATCTTTATACTATAGCAATCTGTATAAAATATCCTCCTGTGTATTTCAAGTTGTATATGTACAGCACGACATGAGAAACACCCGTGCATATGTATAATTGTATATTCTCTATATCGATAATTCGTTCTCGTTTTCCTTCTTCTTCTTCTTCATCCTCTTCTTTGCACGGTTATATCTCGTATTTCTCATTCTCTCCTTCTATCGTTTCTCGTTTCATGTTCTTCTTTATCTTTTCCCGAAGGTTCACACACGGTGGCTCGAGAATCGTCCGTTCAATGTAAAAAGGGCACTTGATCGAACAGAGAGACGTAAACGCGATTGCTATTCTCGCGTAATGGGGGAGGAAATAAATTCGTTCGAAATAAACCGGCCTCGTTTCCGATTTGCCCGCGGCCTCAGTGTCAGCCTCGCATCCATTCCATACACGCGAATCGTGAACGAGGATCGTTCGTGGAATGCAACGGGTGATCGATTAAGAAATGGTCCAGTGTTGTTCTTTCGAGATGGAAAATCTTTTCGATTTCTTCGAGATCTCGTTTTTATCGCGATGAATTTAGGAGCGTGAACCCTTTGATATCTAATGATGTGAAACGAAGAGGGAATGGAGTGAATTGTAATTGTGCGAAGTAATTAAAGTAGAAATTCTGAAAGAAGATATCCCTGGATATCCTTACTAAATCTACTTTGCTTTCGCGTACATCTTCTCTCGAATTTTTTCATTCAGAATTGAACGATACGAGAGTGCGAAAGATGGAGGTATGTAAAATAGAAATTAACGAAAAATCAATCTACCTTGCCTTCTCATGTATCTTCCCTCGATTCTTTCCACTTGGAACAAAATAACACCAAAGCACGAAAGATCCAAGATTTCGAAACGATCGAAAGATTTGCTCAATCTACCAACACCTCCAAACTTCCCAATTTCTATCACGGTAAAGAGCTCCTAAATCCGTACATTCCAACAACGCCTCGATCATGTGTACTCACACCAACAAAGTATCATCGACACGTACATATATACGCGTATCTCGAGTAAAGAATACGTCGAACGATGCTGGTTGTTCACACGTGGCTGGTCTGCGAGCGACAAAAGTGTCACACAGAGCTCTCCCTCTTCGCCATCACGATCGGTGTGCTCATCTTGCCGTCTTTCTGCGACTGGATGCAGCATTGCCCGGGGATCCTCGCCTCCACGTCTTTGGTAAGCAACGTGCCGCTTGGACAAGTCCTGCTGACGACCCTGAGGCCGCTGTACAGCATCGGCGGGCTCATCGTCATCGACATTGATTGAACGCTTTGACTCGGCCAGTGTTGCCTCGGCAGGGTGCAAACGCCGCTTTGATAGTCGTCGCCCACTATTGGCTGAAACTAAAGTTCGTCAATTGATGATGATCGATGCCTTTCGATCTTTAAAGCTTGGGAATTTTTCATAAAGAGAACGGACGGGAGACGGTAATTGTCTTTGGATAAGGAGCGTTCACTCGAGGCGAGCTGTTTTCTTGTGTACAGGGTGATGCACAAGTTGTGGGGGAAATTTGGTGTGAAATTCTGTTCGAAAGATTGAGGAAAAATCTTGTAAAATAGTAGATCGTTCTATTAGTAATAAGGTTTCTCTGAGAGCTGAGTTTCGAACGATCGTCGCTTATCTGTTTGATATACAGGGTGGTCTACATAAAGTGATCACCTCAATTATTCTTGTTATTAGTGGACTGACCAAAATGTTTTGTTATAGAAGGTTAGGTTTCGAATGATCTACCCTCAGGGGCCCAGCCGACTTTTTCCATCGGCTGCGGTACGGGAATTGGCGATCCCGAGGCACCCGAGCACACGG